CGATTCTTTTCTCTCTCTTATCTTTTACCGTTTTTGTTCTCTCTCTAAAAAATCAAAGATTTTCATCACTAAATCTTTATTTTCCTTCTATTTTCCTTAAAAAAATTTGCTTTCTCTTTGAATCTCCGATTAAATTTAAAATTCGACGAAAAAAAACGACGATGACGAAGAACATGACTTCAAAATCATCATTGTATTCATTTTTATCACAATCTTCTACTGAGAATGAAATCATTATGCAGATTGCGGCGTTAGACGAATACATGATAGGTTAAACAAACACTTCTTTTTCAGATTAGCTGGATTTTGAAATTTTATTGTTATTGAGTTAAAGTGCGATTTAGGGTTTGGGGTTTTTTGAAATTTTTGGGATTTTAAAAAAGAATGTTGGGTTTTAAGTCAAATAATCGATTGAGATGTGAAATAGTTAAAATCAAGTTAAATGGGTCAGTTCGAATCATAAAACCATACATGACAGTCATATGAGTTACAATTTCATATGGGTCAATGTATGAATGTATGAATAACATGATGATTTGGGTCACATATATGGTCATAAAACTCATAACCATATAAGCTACATGGTCACAGAATCATATAGGTGATATGATCAAAAGATCATAGGGCATATATGATTATTTAGGTCACATGGTCATTTGAGTATATAAATCATGATTTCATGGACAATGGTCAATTGTCAATGGTCACATAATACGAATCATATGATCACATGGTCACAAGGTCATTCGGTCACACGGTCACATGGTCGCACGGTCATATGGTCACACGGTCATATGATCACATGATCACACAGTCATGTGGTCACACGATCGGACAGACACATGATCACATAATTTAGTATAATAACAAGGAGGTTATATATATTTTCTTTCAGAAAATAAAAAATATACTACATATATGAATGAATGAAGAAACACTTTTTTTTATCTAGAAGAGTACGAGGGAAGTACAAATCCAATGGTTATCTCTTTGGTATAACATCTAAACTTGAATCTGGAAAGTATATGCTGGAAAAAAGATTCGTGAAGTGGAAATTTATTCCAGAAAATCTATAAAGAAGAAAAAAAAGAGTAAAATTCCGATAAATAAAAAAGAAAAAAGGGAAGAAATAGTAAAAAATGAGCGGAAAAAAGAAGAAATGTCACAACAACAACAACAATAACAAAAGTTGTTAGTTCATAATAGATCGTGATAGTTCACCGGAAAAATAATTTCGAACTACTTTTTTTTTATATTCGAACTCTAATTGTAAATTCTTTTTTGTTTATTTTGTTTGTACCTTAGCTACGGAGTTTTGATTCTTTTATAGTTATTAAATGTATTTCAACTTGTTTATTGAGAAACAAAAGATTTGGTTGAAATATTCTTAGGAAAAAAATGGGATTTAGGTGCTTTGATCCTAAAGAACAAAAATGGGAAAAAAAATGGAATTTAGATGGGAACAACCGGACATAAATGTCTGTCGCTTTTCTGACGAGTTCTTCGTGTGAGTCCCATAATATATTTCGGTCACAATAGATCACAATGGGTCACAACTGGTCACATAGTTCTATCTATGAGATTTTTTCAATTTAATCACTCTAGATGCTTTCACATCTCTCATATGTCTATGCAACGATTCATGAACAACTAACAGTCGCAATATTCGCCAATGACAAGGCTCAAATATTTAAGAAGAGAGAGTGAAGGATCCACGAACCAAGTGTTATGTTTATCTTGTTTTGAACCATTTTTATGAGCACTTTTGTTTATTTGACATTATCCTTTTTATGAATACTTATGTTTGTTTGGATTTTGTTTATAAAAAATCTGAACTTTTTAATGTTTTACAAAAAATTCTGGGTTGAAAATGTTGTAGGTGAAACTTTGGGGTTAAAAATTGGGAAGGAAAAAATATAGGGTTAACATAAAAATTATAAATGGTTGAATATTCAAATTGGGTCACACATTAAAAGCAAAAAATAGAAATAATGATTGTGGGCTCCACGAAACACAAAAATCTGGAGAAAAGCTTACTAGTTCTTCGTATGGGTCTTACATCATATTTCGGTCACAATGAGTCACAGTTGGTCACAACCACCGATCCATGCGATTTTTGTCAATTTAATCACTCTACAACGTCACACATCTCTCATAAGTCTATTCTATATTGTTTAGAACATTAAAATATGGTTTTTGCGATTTTTGTGTTTCAAAGTTGTTCTTCCAAATGTGTTCATGTATGTTTCATAATATTTTATGAGTACTTTTAACAAATTTGATATATTTCTTCTACACACCCCTTAAAACATTTTGAAATTTCCCCACACACACTATATATTTGATATATAGACTCTCATAAACTATCCCGCAGCTTAAAAATTAAATTTTGGCCTATATTTATCAACACATTTCGGTCACAATGGTCACACAGAGTAAAATTGTCTTTCGGTCACATGGTCACATGCCGATCACAATGGTTACAACGTTGGTTCATGTGAGTCAATTTATTTGGTGTATAACAGAGTCAGATATATATGAGAAAATTCATCTTCAATAATACAACGTTATTATGATACAATGTTGGTTCATTGTGACCTTGTCACCATGTGACTATTGTGACCCATATAATCCATAATCCATTTCTATATTGACCCGTATGAGTGTTGTGCATATTGTGACCATTATGACCTGTTTCGGTAGTGATCCGAATGAGTGTTATGTACATTGTGATCATTGTGACTCATATACCCATTCTGATATTCGTGACAGTTAACCTGTGTGGTCTATGACACACAATGATGCTCGAAATACATCCAAAATTCAGATTTTTGGATTACAAGGTACTTTTGTATCAGTTTTAACATATCTCATATGTCTACTTTTGTATATGCATTCTCATAATGACCTTATGCGTATATGTATTCTCATATCGTTCATGCAACACTTCTTTTTGCATATACTCCGCAACTTTGGATACCAATATAGAAGTCACATCATCACACGATTACAATATACAATGGTTAATGGTCACACGGTCATATAGTCTGATGATCATATGGTCACAACGTCACGTGGTCACAATACCACGTGGTCACATTGTTAAGAATAATCAGAATTGTCATATTGATAATAGTGATAAAAAAAAACTTATACATGTTCTTCAGACCATTAAACCGGTCTTCAAACTCATTCAACATATAAGCTTTCACGCATTTGAACAATCGTTCGACCATGATTTCACCTTTTGAACTCTTTCTTTCCATACTTTTGTGAATCTCGACTTTCAAATTCTACGTTGTACCTTGCACAAAATCCGTGATTTTCAGAACCACCAATGTGCATAAAAAAACCCGGTTTTTTTTGTAGTAGCTTACCTATTTTCAATTGTCTCACTTTATTTCGTCTTGATTTTCTCTAATTTCGCCGAATTGTTTAGGTAAAATAGCAAGATAAAGAGGAGAGAGAAAGTATAGAAGAGAGAGAGCTTGGTTGAAACTAACGAGAGAAGGAGAAAGAAATAAAAAAAAAAGGAAGAATGAGAAACCGAAAAGAATGGGGAGGAGAGTTTCTCTAGATGAAATTTTTTAATTAAAAATTAAATATAAAATAATATTAGAAGGTTATTTTAGTAATCTAATAATAAAGAAATAAATTGAAAGGTAGAATTTTTTTTTAAAAAAAAAGAATATGCTCGGAAATGCTTGTAACATGGAGGGTATTTCACAAGTTTACCCGACTTTTGATATTTTCGGCTGACATGGCGCCGCTTTCTTTGATATCGAATGTCCATTAATATATCATATTTGTATGTATAGATATATGTTTTTTTTGCCTTTTCCGTTTTTTCCAGATTATGTCCTTTTTTATATGATAGTTTCCGCTGACATGGCACCGCCTTCGTTGATATCGAATTGTCCATTATTTTTAATGTAACATAACCTTTAAAAAAATATTAAATTCACTACCTTTCTAAGTTCTATCACTTGCCTGGCTAGAGAAAAACCGCTCTCCAAGGGTTCAAGGAAAAAAAGGGGCAATTTCATTTAAAACCCTTAAATTTTAATAAATATCAAAGGCATCCTAAAATTTAGAAATCTGAGCAAAGGACCTCACATTTTCTTTTGAATCATAGTGAACCCTAATATACTAACTTTTGTTATTTTGGAGTTTGGGACGTGGGATTTCAGAACCCATGATAAAATAATTATTAGATAGTCAAAAACATTATAACCACAAAATAAATGTGTAATTTACGTTGGGTTATCTTCACCAATTGAATTGATAATTAACAAATGTTGAACCTATGCACTGAGTTGAGTAACGAAGGCTTGTGGATCAACAAAAATTATATGCATTATGGTTTTGTGAATTTTTTTTATTTGTGTATTTTGTAATACATCCTTCGCCAACACTTATTTTTGTTTATTTTTATTAGTGATAAAATTCGAAAATATTTTTTTTGCGTGTTTCTTTTACTCTTTTATTCGTATGTTCTTTATACATGGTCCATCACATATATTAGTCTTAAAAATTCTGATTCTGTCAATTTTATTTTCTTTAACAAATATATCATAAAATTTGAAACAGATAATATTTGTAAGTAAATATTATAACAAAAGCACTAATCAAAGTTAAAAGAAAAAATGATGTATTGTTGTTCTGTTTCGTTTTATTTTGTAAAATTTGTAATTGGTGATAATATTATTTTTATTAATTTAATTTTATGTTTCTTAATAATTTATCAGTCATTCTTGCTATAAGTGGTTAAATATGGACAACGAAAAATAAGAGGGGGTTTCTTGTCAGATTCAGAAATATTAGAGCTTATTTTGATATTAAGAAAAACGTTCGAGGGCGAGTCATGGTGGTTACTTGTCTCTTGTAAAAATTTATATTTTTATAAAGAGATATATCCATACAATTTTAAAAAATAAATTTCTAAACTTTTCACTTAACAAATTTATTTCCAAATTTCTAAAAAATATCATTATAATTCTCAAATTTATTAATTGATAACAAAAATGTTGACAATATCGACAATATTGACAATCTTGACATACTGTGTTTTATATTTATTTATACGTCGTTAGATAAAAATAATTAAATGATTCTGACAGGTCATGACTTGTAAGGACGGACGGACTATATTATATATATGCGAAAACCCGCTGGGAATTCAACCCATCATTTCCTCGGAACAAAATCACGGACAGATGGGGATCTTCTCTCGCCATCTCACTGTCCCTCCGCCACAGCAGCATGAAGTGTTCATCAATTACCGCGGAGGAGAGCTCCGCTATGGATTCATCAGCCACCTCGTCGATGCCTTTCACCGTCATCGAATCAGATTCTCCGTCGACAATGGCGAACGAAGAGGCGAGGATCTGAAAAACCTCTTCGTGAGGATCCAAGAGTCCAGAATCGCATTGGCCGTCTTCTCCACGAGGTACCCGGATTCAGAATGGTGCTTGGACGAGCTCGTGAAGATCGACGAATGCGTGAAGATGGGGAACTTGAGAGTCATTCCAATATTCTACAAGGTCGAACCAGATGACGTGAGAAGACAGGAGGGGGGTTTCGGTGAGAACTTCTGGAAACTCGCCAAGATTTCTCGAGGTAAACAGATCATGATGTGGAAGGATGCTTTGGAGTCAGTCTCCGACAAGATGGGCTTGACCTTCGACGACAAGAGGTACTGTTCCGAGAGCTTAAACCCCCTACTCGGTTCTGTCTGAAACTTTTCCTCATAATCTCTCACAGACATATGGTCAAACACTTGATAGACACAGCAGATTTATGAGCTACTGATAACTCCTATTCTTCTCTATATTTTGATGAGAGTTTGTCTAGGTTTTATAGGATAATCACATGCATTCATAGGCATTCTAGGCGTGTTAGGATACAAAATCCGGTTGTGCTCTAGTTTTGCAGAGTTACAGGTTTCGGAGATGATTGGACTCGAAAAGGAGCTAATTGGAGCGTTAAAGGAGAAGTCCGGATGAGGTACTCATGTTGCGACATCAATAACTTTCTCTACAGAGGTCCAAATCGTGCGAGACCTATATCATTGGAAAGAGCACTTCAAGAGCTTCGCGTAGACACCAAAATCGCGTAAATCCGACACGGGAGCAGAGAGTTATGAGCGAATTCGTGAAGACCAGAGAACTGCCGGTGCAGGGCCGATTCCGGCTGGAATCGGTCCGGATCAGGAACGCACAACTCGACCCCAGGAATCTGGATCCGGTCCGGATCCACCTGGAATCGGTCCGGATCCAACCAGAAACCCTAATTCGCGATTTTCAGCATTGGAATGGGATTAGAACTCTTGGGAGCCACCCTAGGGTTATAAAAAAGCCCTAGCCACGTCCTAGTAGAGGGGAGGACCTTAGAGAACACCTAGATACACACTTTTGGAGAACTTTTGGTGAGAGAAGAATAGAAGTTCACGGGATTTCGGGAAGAAGAAGGAGGATTCGATCGTGAAGACTAGACATCGACATGAGCTTTTCTATCCCTTCTTTTATCTCTTTTTCTCTGTTCTTTCTATTATTATCCATGAACCTTGAGTAGATCCATGACTATGGGTTAGGGATTCGTATGTGTTTTGGGTATGTTTGAACCCTCGTCAATCTCTCGATCTATTCAAGTTAACCCTAGGTGCATAAAGAACGCTATCATCAACCTAAATCGATTAAGCCATATCTCTATGTGAATAATACGATCTATCCTATTGATTTTGATCCGAAACAAACCCATATCTCTATGTGGTTCAGAATCCAAGATAATTGATCAAGGGGTTAGCAAACATCAATCCAATAAAAGTGCAAATCAATAGAACCGAATCAAATCAAAACCGAAATCCAAGTTAGGGTTCAAACATACCCAAAACACAAACGAATCCCTAACCCATAGCCGTGGATCTACTCACGGTTCATAGAAAACAACAAAAAGCTCATAAAGAAAGAGATAAAAGAGAGGAAAGAAAGTCTCATGCAGATGTGTAGTCTCCACGATCGAATCTTCCTTCTTCTTCCCGAAATCCCGTGAACTTCTATTTTATTTTCTATTCTTTCCATATACTTCCACCATCACTTTCACTTGCTTGCTTCGATTTAGTTTCGATTAGGATTTAGACTTAGCTACCGGTCCTTGTGTTCGACCCCGTGTTACGACGATCCGTGTCCTTGCGGTGAGTTGTGAATCGGGTTATAGATTTTAGACTTGGTACACACGTATCAAGTTTTTGGCGCCGTTGCCGGGGACTGGTTAGCCTATTTCTAGGTCTTTATTGATTCTAGATCTTAGCTTGTTTACTTTTTCTTTTTCTTTTTCTTTTTCTTTCTTTGGTTTTTGCGGCTTCACTTTGTTTTGAGTTCTTCTTTTTCCTTGCGATTTGCAGGATTCTAGTGCCTGACACGGAGCTCTACTCGGAGAGAAGACCTAGTCTACGATCCAGAGATTGAGCGTACCTTGAGAGACATCCGAAATCAGCAGAGAAGAGAAGCCATGTCGAGATCAAGTAGTTCGCACGACCATGCGGTTCATGATGAGGAGCATCACGAGAATCAAGAGCACATGAATCCGCTTTATGATCAGCAAACCGAGGGCGAAGCTACCTACGTTGCAGAGGAGACTTTGGGTTCTTACATTGCACCGAAGCACACCCAACTCCTATCATGCATCAACCGTCCGCCCATTGACAGTTTCGAGCTACCGCCACAGTGCATCACGATGTTCAGTCAAGCAAGTTTCAGAGGGCGGCCTACTGAGGATCCCATTGCTCACTTGACTCAGTTCAAGATGCTGTGCAGATCAGTCAGAAAGGCACGAGGCATGACGATTGAAGATGTATACTTGGAGGCCTTTCCTTTTTCACTGATGGACCGGGCGAGAGATTGGCTCTACACCCTTGAGCCGAACTCGATTATGACATGGGAGGAGCTAGAGGAGCAGTTCATGGCGAAATACTACTCCCCAGAGAAGACCCGGGCTGCACAGAGAGCCATACACAGCTTCACTCAAGAGAGTGATGAGAGTCTATACGACGCATGGGAAAGATTCAAAGGCTACCAACGCCTTTGTCCACACCACGGCATGGATAAGCGACTGTTGCTTTCCACGTTCATCCACGGACTGAGAGACGATACTAGAGCATGGATAGATGCAGCTTGTGGAGGGAGTGTATACGACATTCCCTTTGACACCCTAGAGATGCAGATTGCGAAGATGGCTAAAGCAAGAGGGATGTCAGGAGAGATAACATCAAACGTTACACGAACAGTAGAATTAGGTGAGTCCACTGCTTTGAAAGCAGTCATGTCAGATCTATCAGCAATTAAGCAGCACATGGGACTCAAGAGTACACCTATCCCTCAGAGAGTCCAGCCTGGTATGTTTCTGGTTGATCAGACCACATCGAAGGAAGGACCGGTTGAAGACGTCAACTACATTGGAAGGAATCAGTACCAGAATCCTTCCAATCTCTACAACCCGAACGCGCCTAGGAACCATCTTGGTTTCTCTTACGGAAACCCGAGTGGAGCATTGAATGCACAGCAACAGGGCGTTTCCAGAATCCCTCAGAATCCCCCGGGCTTCACTCAGTCACATTTTCAGGGGCAGAATCAGGGATATGCGCAACAGAATCCAGGATACGG